CCACCGGGCCGGCCCACCCTTTTCTGGTTTTTGAACAGCAGAGTTTGTAATTTTGTTGAAGTCTAGTTTATCATTTTTCTTTTCCTTTAATGGTTAGTGCTTTTTGAGTCCAAAGAAATTTTTGCCTATTCTAAGGCTGCAAAGATATTTTCTTTTTTTTTTTTCTCTTTAGATGTTTTAGTGTTTTAGCTTTTTCATTTAAGATTGTAAATCCGTCTGAAATTAGTTTTTGTAAGTAGTATGAGGTAGCAATTAAAATTAGCTTTTTTTTTCTTTCTGTAAGAATTATTTATCAAAATATTATTTATCAAAAATGTTTTTTACCCCCAATTAAGTTGTTCTGGTGCCTTTGTTGAAAATCGATTTACAGTATATGAGTGTTCCTTGGTCTGTACGTCTATCTTTACACCAGTATTATGCTGTCTTGTTTCTATAGCTGTATAGTAAGTCTAGAAATTAGGTAGTGTTAGTCAGCAACTTGCTTCAAAATTGTTTTAGCTATGCTAGGTTTTTCACATAGTCATATAAATTTTAAAATCATCTTGGCGATTTTTATAAAATTCTGCTGCATAGAATCTATAGGTCAGTTTAGGGAGAACTGACATCTTAAAAATATTGTGTCTTAAAACCTGTGAACATGATGTATCTGTTTATTTATTTCTTATTTAATTTATCTTTATAATGATTGGTACAGGTCTTTCATGTCTCTTAGCAAATTAGTCTTAAGCATTTTATTCTTTTTGATGCTATTATAAATGGAATTAAAAATTTCATTTTTGGGTTGTTGCTAGTACATAAACAATCGATTTTTGTCCATTGACATTGTATCCTGCTATTTTGTAAATTTATTTATTAGTTCTAATTGTCTCATAATTTTTAATTCCTTCATAGTATTACTTTGAAAACTAAACTTATTTGACCTATTTCTTTATATTTTTTACAACTTTGTTATATGCAGTATTGAAAGTGCTAGGTTTCAATTNCGCACAGCTCTCAGGATCGCGCTGTTTCCTGGCACGGC